GCGCCGCCTCCGAAAAGGTTGAAATGTATTTAATATAATACCTAACGAGTAAATAGGTTTCATTCATATCTGTTACGTAATTGTATGATTGAATGAAATAGAAATTACTTCATTAGGAAATAGAAATTATTTTATACTTTTTAGTGCATTTCGAAGTCGGTGTATTTTTTTTCTAAGAATTATTTTATTTCACGCTTTTTATCGGCCGGCAAGACGTGTTTGTAGAAACAGTAGAAAATCGGCGACTGCATGTTGACTCATACACCACCAGAGACACGGAGGCATACGTAGTATTCAATATATTAGTAACAATAGTTTTTCACTAATAACTCGAAAACTAAAGCTTCCCCTTAATTGTGGATAAGGAAAAAGTTGTTCAGAATCGTGTCCCTGATAACATACTAAAAGGACATGAAAATCGTCCAAAGTTGATTTCAAAACTTTTCAACAATTTTTCGCTAATATCTCGAAAACTAAACCTTTCCGCGAAATTTGTATAGGAACAAAATTGTTCAGAATCATGTCCATGATAAGATATTAAAAGCGCACTAAAATCGAGAAAACTTTATTTCAAAAGTTACCGGTTTTTTTGCAATAACAATACTTTGCAATTAAAAAATGAAAAATTTTTTGATAATGGTACCAATGGGGAGTCAGAACCTACCAGATGCAAAAGGTTTCATCCCGATCGGTGCATCCAGCTAGGCGTAATCGGCGGGCACACATAAAAAAAAAAAAAAAAAAAAAAAAAAACCGTTTTATCAGAAAATTTATTTTTATCTTACAATATTTATTATTTTCCTTTCGAAATACGTCCGTTAGGAGCAAATCTGATTTTTATAGGAGAATTTAATTTAAATTTGGAAATTTTAGGAGCTGAAGATTTGAAAATTTACGAAACTGGAGATTTAGAAATTTGAAAATTTGGAAAGATTGGGGGCATGAAAAGCTGGAAGTTTTGGGATTTAAGAAAGAACAACATGAGAACTTGGAAATGATGACATTTGGAAACTTGGAAATATCAAAATTTGAAAATTTGAAAATTGACGTTGCAAAATTGTAAATTTGCAATTTTGGAAATTTAGTAATTTATTAATTGATCAGTTGCAAATTTAACAGTTTAAAATTTAGTGATACAAAAACCGGGGATTTGGACATTTGCAAATTTGGAAATTTGATAATTTGTGAATTAAATAGTTTGTAATGTTGGAAATTTAAACATTAAATATCTTTTACACTATTATCTATTTACGCTCAACATCGTATGTAATAAAGTTTGTAATAATAGTTTATTAATAGGTAAAAGCTCATTGAAATTTGAAAGGAACAAAATGAAGGTACTTCAGATAATAATATTTAGCACAGTCAAATAACTTCATAATAACGTCAGGCTTTATGCTGCTCAATCGACTGAAGACAAGATGCAATTGCACTCTTCTGATGCACTGATGTATAAAAATGCATAACCTTAATTTCCGAAGAAGCATCGCTCGACACTATTTAACCCAATAATTCTCTGAGATTGAAAATATATTACTTTGAAGATGCTACTCGACATTATAAATGAAAGTAAAGGAAATAGATAATAAAGTAAATAAATGTTTATTTAAATTAAATCTTCGTTGCATGTTTTCAATTCTGAAAAGGAATATATTTATTGAGCAAATAAATATATACGACAAATAATAAACATAAAACGAATAATAACATAACAAATAATAAATAATAAATATATATAACAAACAAATAGAGTAATATTTTCAACTGAAAGAATTAGTATAACATTGCAAAATAGCAATATTTTAAGAAAGCATAATACGAAATTTAAATTACAAAGAATGAAAAATGTTTTCGTTAACTTTGTAAACAATGAAAGCTGTTCATTTATATTTAGCAAAATACAAGAATTTCGTAGTATATTATTTTCTGATGTGTATTTGCAACAGTATGTCATGAATGGCGAAATAAGGAATAAAAACACAAATTGGTCATAAAGTGTGTAACAAAATGGTGTATGGAACTTGTGACTTTCGTGACTTATAGAGCTAATTTTTATCTACAACATTATTATTTATTTCTAATCATTGGAAAGATATATCTAATCTTTGTGATACGAGGAATGCAACAAAATACTATATTTTGTTGAATCAATACGAACCTAACCTAATCTAATCTGCAATTTTCGAAAGTCAGATTACATTTTCTTGGAACGCAATCGAATTTGTATGTTTATCATATGCACACATTTTTAAATACATACATACTTTATCATACATATTTGTGTAAATTCATATTTGTATCCAAATGAAAAAAATAGTCCAATCTGGCTTAAGGTTCGCAAATTGAACAAAGATTCAAGATTTCATATCATAATAGTTAAATTAATTATCAATAGTTTACTCAAGAAATACTTAGGACATGTAGATGTGCGAATTATGAAATAATACATTAGGGATTGTTTGTGACTCGTAAGAAGTCACGCTTCGATTTGTACATATTTTTGAGCTATACATTGACTTTTATTATTAATAAATGCCATAAATATTTCTCAGTAACCTGAGTACTTAATTTTATATGAATTTTTAATAATTGATTATAATCTTACTTACGGTAGGGTGCGTTTTGATCATCGCGTCCCATGGCCTTGATTGAACGACCTATTACAGTGACATTGCCGCTGCTGCAAGTCGAATACAAACTCACGGAGCGCACCATTGCCGGTACCGCCCCGCACATCACCACCTGCAATCAGAAAATCATTTTTCCAAAGTGAAATTTCTATCTAAATAAATAAATTAATATAATATAATATAAAATAAATAAATACAAAACGTCAGTTGGTTGTCGATAATCGAACGGGTGCGCTTAGAAGAGAATGGTGCACATTTCAAACATTATAGTAAATTTAATATTATCGATACGTGTTGTACGATCGCAATAATACATCTCGCAATAACTGAGTCTTTTCTTTGAATTACTCATCGCGCATAATGTGTCATGTGTACATGGTGAGGAACTTTCGTAAACGAATTGATGTGTAAAAGAGGTGGGTATTTTTAACGTTTCGATACTATAAGGACTGGACAATCGGGATGCTTGTGTGATTGCGTGTTTGTTTAGTGTGAGTTCCGAAAATTGTACTATTATTATACGGAAAACATCAAATATGAAAGTCACCCTTTTTACTTGACAATCCCATAGAGCGGGTATCGATATGCTCTTGTGGATTTTGCGAGTAAATAGGTTTCTTGTCATACGACGAT